ATTTGCTTCATCATAGGTATGATAAAATCTTTCTAAGTTTCTCCCTCATAAGCTTCTAATTTATCTTGGCCTTTTTAAAAATGTAAAAATTGATATTAATTTTAATGTTGTAATAAAATAAATAAATTTAATTAGGTAATTAATAAATTAAATGTAAATTTTTACTTTTGTAAACATAAATTTATGAAGAAAAATTATTTTTATTACTAATTATGGCCACATCATATTTTTATTAAATATCTAGTTATCTATTTTTCTTTGAATGTATAAATATTACTTCTTTTTTTTTTTCCCCTGCAGCTGGAGGCTGGTTTGCTACGCTTTGTGTAGCAGGTTTTACAGCCATTACTATAAGAAAAATTGTGAAGACAGAAATGATAGACCCTGAGCCAATGGCAAAACCATCACCTTTTTCTCCCTTAGAATTTTGGACCTGGAGCGGTATATTTGTTATATCATTTGTTGCTTCACTACTCCATCCAACAGTGTTGGGTTCTAGTGCCAGGACGTTCCTCCCTTTTCTGCTTGCTTCCAATGTGCTAGGCTACATGGTTGGTTCTAGGTAAAATTTCAAGTCTCTAATTGAGGAAGTCTATAGGGACAAAATTCTGCATTGTATAATTTGTGACATGGACAAAATTCCACGACCATTTTTGAGATTCAGATTCTTATGGTTTAATTATTTGTTTCTGGTTGAGGGGTTGACCAATATTTTGATTTCTGGTTTTCATTTTTCAGGTTGCCATCTGATGTGAAGAAGGTTTTCCATCCAATTATTTGCTGCACATTATTTGCAGAACTTTCTGCACTTGCCTTTGGGTTCTTATCCCAGTCTGGACTTGACCATGTCCTAGGTAAAATTTGAAAGTTAATCTTCACTATTGATTAATAATTCAGTAGCCAATGCCATAGAAGAGTAAAGATAATTAGATTCTAGTATGAAAGTAATTGCTACATTCATCAGAAGAATTAGCTTGTAGGGTCTTCGTTCTCTATTTTGTGTGTGGAGATGTGTGTGTGGGTCTGATTTTCGCTCTTTCCAAGTACAATGATTTTTCCCACATTGTTCTATAATTGTCAGGAGGACTTCTTTATAACATAAACTTTGATGGTCTTCTTTTTTATATACAAAAACATTTCAGATTCTGATTATAACAATCTACTCTGTTAACAGAATCCTTAATGAGTCATTCATAAATGGCATGCTTGCATTATTTGACATACATTGATGGTGTAATCCTTGAATTGAGAATTCTAGTTATACAATCAGTTGGTCTGAAAAGGCTGGGTCAAATCTGAAGCTTTTGAAATTGCACAGCGTTAGAAAATCTGCTTTTCTTACCTATTTGGTTATTATATTCTCTACGGACACAGGATGCTACCTTACAAAGGTGTCATCAGATCCTGGAGCTGGTGATGTTCTCGTGGGATTTTTGGGATCTGTCATACTCTCTTTTGCTTTCTCAATGTTCAAACAGAGAAAGGTAAATACCCCATACTCCATATTCAACACGATAAGATGAATAAGTGACTGGCCTATGAATCATTTAGATTACAAGGATTTTAGGTATTTCTGTATTGCATAAGAATGTAGTAAGGGTTTGAGATTTCAGATTTGAATTGTCTTAGAGAAAAACAAAGTATGGATACTGTAGAGAACATTATATATTAGATTATTCTAGTAAACTTCAGAAGATTTATATTGCCTCTGCACATGAACATAGGTCTGTCAGCGTAACCCCACAACTTCTTGCTTGTTCTTGTTTGATGCTTTGCTCTAATTGTTCATCTCTACTACAAGGATTAGCAGTTTAAGCACAAGATTATCCGATGAAGCATTGATGATACACTTAGTTTCTGCTTTATAAATTGTCATTTTTTCCTCTGGCCTTTACAGCTTGTTAAGAGGCATGCAGCTGAGATTTTCACTTCTGTCATTATCTCAACTTTATTCTCATTGTATTCAACTGCTCTTGCTGGACGCCTTGTTGGGTTAGAATCATCTCTTACAATTTCAATTCTACCAAGATGTATAACTGTGGCATTAGCCCTCAGCATTGTCTCTCTATTCGAAGGTAGGTTACTGGTTATTGGTTATATCTTTCAGCAGCGGCATGCAATTTTTATTATCATAACCAAACTAGGATTGTAAAACATTTAACGCATAAATGGAGACTAACCTTTTTCAATTCATTTCAACTAGTCTTCTCTGCACAAACGCTCTAAACTTTGCAGCTGTAAAATGATCCTTGTTTTTATTTGTTGTAGGCACCAATGCATCAATTACAGCTGCAGCAGTTGTAGTAACTGGTCTGATTGGAGCAAATTTTGTGCAAACAATGCTTGACAAACTACGGTTCCGTGATCCCATTGCTCGAGGAATAGCAACTGCATCAAGGTATGTACTTCAACAATAAATAAAACTGACATGAATGCTCCAAAGATTATATTTGCATAAATAAACAAATTAATGCACCTAATCACAAAGTTCTGATCATTCACGAAACTGGCGTTTCTATGTATTTAATGCATCTGCTCTTTTTACTTTTGTTGTTCCAGTGCCCATGGATTGGCAACAGCAGCCTTGTCAGCCAATGAACCCGAGGCTCTTCCTTTTTGTGCCATTGCATATGCACTCACCGGTATATTTGGCTCACTGGTTTGTTCAGTCCCAGTAGTCAGACAAAGCTTGCTTGCAGTAGCTGGCTCTGGCTAAAACTTTGATCATCTCCGCCAAATTTTTTTTCCTCCTCACTAGTTTACAGTTTGATATATTGCACATAATTTTTATATCAACCCCTATTAGAAAGTTCAAGAATTTGTATCAAAACCAATTGTGTAGCCGTGTGCCCACAAACTGTTCATTTCTTACTCAACATTCAACCAGTACTAGATCCCAAATGTTCACAAGAAACATCTACTTACATGGAAAGTGTTGTAGTGCATTCTGATTTAACGTAAATAGTATAATTATTATTACTATTGAAGAGGAAAAGTCTCCTGAACATGATTCTTTTTCTCTAAAATTAATGCTTAATTTTTTGTAGTTAGATTTAATTTGGATTGGAAAAAATTATTTTGTTTTATTTTATTTTATAGAAGCATTCTTATTAATTAATAGGATTTATGTAATATAATTTGAATTATATATTAAAATTTTTTCCTGTTTTATAAATTTATAAAATAATATAAAATGAAATTTTTTTAATAAATTTATAAAATAAATTATACTTTTAATATACTGTTTATAAAATATATATTTTTTAAACATGGACAATTGAAAATAGACAATTTATTGTAACTAGGAGGAGGGAGATGAAGAATAGAAAAACAGTTAGTAGGGCTTAAATACAATCTATCAAATAAATTTACATAAAATCAGTGACTAAACCATTAGGGCTTAAATGCAATCCATCAAATAAATTTACACTTTTTTTGTTATTTAATTTCATTTTATTATAAGGCCCAAAATGAAATTCTTGGTTTTCTGCATTTTACAAGCGTGCGTCTCGGTCTCACGTGCACGGTGGGGAGGAATGAATGCGTGACAGAATGTTAGGATGCACCTTTCGAGAAAGTCAGTCAGCGTGAGAGAGAATGCAAAGCACAGTGCTTTTAGTGCTTAAAGTAAACCCATTTGTCTGGGAAATGTGAAGTGTGATCTTTCCTTTACAGATATAAAAAGAAGTTTCCTCCTTTCTCACCCAAAGCGCTCCACTTCTTGCTAGATCGTTCAAACCCTGTAAGCTACGTTTGAACTTTATTTTGTATCTCCAATAATTCTTTTTTTTTTCTTTGATATTATGTTCTTTTAAATTAATCATCATGAAAATCCTATCCTCTTATTCTCTAGTTTTCGATTTTTTGTTTATTTTGCCCCATTGTGATGTTTTTGCCTTAAAATTTTCAGGTAAAAGAGTGGGGTTTTCTTCTTCTTCTTTTTCTGATAAATTCTTTATTTTCCATTGGAGTTTATTTGGTGTTGTGCTTTAATGGGTTGTTTTCTATTGCCTTAAAAAATGCATCTTTGATTTTTATTTTTTTCTTGGGTGCAGTTTTTTAATTGGTGAGTTGTAGTTTCTATTTTGTTATTAAAAGGTTTTAGTTTTTATGCAATTTGTTTATTGCCTTTGATTTTTCATCTTTGGTTGGGTTTCCATGGTTGATGTTTTAGCCTAAAACATACTTTCATGGGTTTCCTATTTTTAGTCCTAAAGTTGCTAACTTACAGAGGTTAGGTCTTTTTACCTTTTTAAGGGGAAAACAGGAAATGGGCAACTGAAGTAGAAGACATTGCCAAGAACAGGAAAATGTTAATTCAGTCATAGCTATTTGGAAAGGACGTGAATTCCTTGCTGCTTGGTTGACCACAAAAATGAAAAAAAATAAGAATGAAAGAAATCAGTAGAGACTAAGTGTGAACTTCTTCCATTTGTGACGAACTTTAGTGCCAATTTTAGTTTTGTCCCTTTTGATATCACTTATTTAGCTGCATTGTGGATTAGACTTAGTGTCTTTATATAATTTATTCTGCTCTCAGTTCATGTTTTTGCTGCTTTATTGTCAGGTGTTTTTCTGCTTAAGAAACTGGATGGTTCAGAAGTTTTCTTTTGTTCCTTTTGTGTGTCTATGTTCATTTGGATTATTTAGAAGCATACGGCAGGTTTCAATTTAGATGCTCAGCTGCAGAATCAGTTTATAGCCTTGAGGATGGGGTCTTATTCTAAAAACACAATACCTCAGACAAACACTGGATCATCGGTTTCACATTTCCCCTGGTTATATGCTGAAAATTACATGAAATATTGTTGCACTACATCAAAACCTGCTTTGGATTCACTTCAGGGAATTCAAGTAAACTCTGAACCTGGTATTGCCATTGCTCCAATTCGTTCCATTCCTCCCACAAAGGAGTCAGCAGAAAATAATGTATCAGGTATAAAGACAACAGAGGCAGGGAAACAGAAGTCTTCTCTGAAGCCTGCTAATCGAGATGCAGCCAAGGCTCTGAAGCCAAAGCAACCTAAAAAGAAACCTTCCACCAATAAGAAGGCAAAGGGACCGGTTATTCCAGAAACCAAACGTGAGAAGAAGAATCTTAACATTGATCTGGATGTGTCAAACCTTGATTTCTCTGGGGTGCCTTCCCCAGTTTGTTCTTGTACAGGTGTTCCAAGAGTTTGCTACAAATGGGGTGCTGGAGGTTGGCAATCCTCTTGTTGCACCATCAGTATATCAGAATATCCTCTCCCCATGAGTTCCACCAGGCCCGGGGCTCGAGTTGCTGGAAGGAAAATGAGCAATGGAGCATATCTGAAACTTCTGCTGAGACTTGGAACAGAAGGTCATGATCTTTCACAACCTGTTGACTTGAAACACCACTGGGCTAGGCATGGCACTAACAAGTTTGTTACCATCAAATAAGAATGTCTATGGCTTGTAGTTAGCTATATATTGATTTCGGAAATATGACTATTGTGTTTTCTAGTTTAGATGTAGTCTATCTCAATACAAACTAAGGAGGTTCTAACAAGTCAGATTGTAAACAGGGTGTCTCCTTCTCTAGCAGTAAAACTCTAGAAAATGCTACTTTGCATTTGGGGAACTGATATTTTGATATATATTTTATAGTTCCTGTTTTTAATGAACATCTCAACTGAAATTTGATCTATGCTTTTGCTTCTCTACATCACACATCTCCACAGAATTACATTGGAAAATAATTACACAGGAGAGTATTCATTATTATGACAACATCTAGGGTTCAAATTGGAATATAAATTAGGAAGTGGAAAGGTTAAAAAAAAATTAGAAAAAAAAAAGAGAGAGAGGATATGATTATGAACTTAGTGCCTTGTTTCTTAGGCTTTTGTTGCTTCTAGTGGAGTAGCAACTTTGGTTGAAACAAGTTGCTCGTAGAGATCTCTGATCTTCAATCCAATAATGGTTTGGAAGAGCCCTGTTCCATTGTTGCTCCCTGGGAAATCAGAATGCTTCAACATCTGTTGGGTGACTTCTCCATAGAACTTGGTGGAAATGTTGCTTAAATGGCTCTCCACATAGATGAGCTCATCTAATCTGTCAAATTGACCATCCATCTCCATAACAGAGACCTGAAACACAAAGACCAGAACAAACATGAACCTTCTCCACCTTTCAAAATGATCTGAATATTTCCCATTTTCCATGCTTGAAATTTAGAGGTTACAAGAAGCACTTGGAAACACACCTCATGATCGAAATAAGTGTCAGGGCCGTAGAAGAATTTGATTCCAGGGTAAGAGCAGGTGAGTTTCCTTCCGCAGGGTATCCAGGAGATGGTGGAGCCTTCATCAAACAAGTAAACAGGGCTGAAATGCTTCACCTCTTCTTTCATTATCAACTTAACTCTCAGAACCTTGCCCTCATTGTCATCCGGAATGAGTTGAGTCGGCAACACTTCAATAACTGCATCAGCATATTGCTTCTGAGGGTCTGCAACATCAAATTCAGCAAACAAGTACTCATGAAGTCATGAACCGTACGACTTGCACACAAAAGTAAGATAAAGATGGTGGTTTCTTCAGATTTTACCAATATAGGCATCAAAATCTGGCTTCCTGGCTTCAATACTAGCTTTGATGCTCTCAAGACTGTGTCCTCTCTCAGCCATGTCCCTCTGCATTGCACGCAGTGTAAGATCTTTTTAATGAACAAAATCACGGAATGCATATGAAAGAACATCTTGAAACTGAATTTGAGTGGTGACCTGAATTTTCCATGCAAATTTGACCTCATTGCTAATGTCCAAGTAGATACTGAAGTCCAAGAGGTCCCTCACACGTTCATCAAACCTGCAAATTTTCACATTATGCCAATTGTTCAAAACTGTAAAAATGAAAGAGGCATATAAAGACAAACTAGAGTTAATCCTTCCAACTTTAAACTCAGAAATAGGACTGTTGTTCATGTTGGTTGGACACCTCCTCTAGTTGGGTACATTAAACTGAACATTGATGGCTCAGCTCAAGGTAGCCCGGTTATGGCTGGAGCAGGGAGGATTTTCAGAGATCATTTAGGTACCTGGGTCACTGGGTTTACCAAATGCGTGGGTAAAACCACAAGTTTGGCTGCTGAACTCTGGGGCATTAGCGAAGGTCTGGAAATTTGCTGTTAACAGGGGGTTTTCCAAACTCATTTTGTTGCTAAAATCTTACTTCAATCTGCAAACCATAAACTGCACTCACTTGGTGTTTTAATTAATGATTGCAGATGGCTCATGCATAGCTTTATTGATATTCAAGTGCTCCATATCTATTGGGAAGCTAATGCGGCTGCAGATTTTCTTGCTAAGCATGGGGCCAACTCTGAATTAGACTATGTTTCGTACAATGAGAGAACTCTATTTTATTTTGTGACTGTATCGGAACTGTTGTTCCTCGCTTTGTTGTAGCGGCTTAATATCTAATCTATTCTCTTTATTTACCTATATATAAATAAACACAAACTAATAGTGGTCCAAAAGAAAGAGATAAAATCCGGTTGAGGATAAACAGAGAATCCTCAACCATCCATTTCTTCATCAATGAATGCTTGGTGTACCAATAGTATATCAGTAAAGAAGGATGTCGAGAACTGATTTAATTTAGTAACATATGGATTTTGATGCTAGACATAAATGATATGGTTTCCTGAAAAGAGAGAAACAGAGCAAGAATCAAATGCATGGCTATGGTTTTTCAGTTCTTAGCTTGAAAAACTTACATGGGGTGTAATCCTTCGATGACCAAGATCTTAGGCGGCTTGATGAGCTCAGGAGGATCTAAGAGACCGGTAACATGGTTGTAAATTGGCTTGTCCACAGCAACTCCTTCCTTGAGAGCCTTAACTTGTTCATACATGAGATCAAAATTGTTAGCTCTTGGGTCAAGTGCAGTCACTCCCTTCTCTTTCCTCCCATTTCTATCTAGGGAATGGTAATCATCCAAGCATATCACAGTGGTCATGTCACTGATGAGTGTGTTTGAATCAGGGTTGCCTCCCTTGGGTGGCTCTGCTGCACCTCCAAACACACTAGTCAGCCTCCTCATGAAGGTACTCTTCCCACATCCTGAGTCAGCTGCCAGACCAATCACAACTGTCCGGGGAACAGCAGCTGCACAGCTTATCACACTCCCACCCCTCTTGCTGGTTTTCTTCCCAGAAGTGTAGAACACTACCTGCCTCTGGTGAAATCCCAAGTGGGATTTTGTTGGTGTGGAGATTGAACATGTTGAATTCAGAGACTGTGTGGTGTAAATTGTGCAGGTTGCCATTTTTCTAGCTACCACACTCTCTGCTTCAAAAGCTACCCAGAAAAGCTTTTAGACAAATGGCCAAGTATACCAAATTATTGGTCTTGATTCTTTTATTCTGATATTAGAGAGGAAAATTTTGGGACACAAATAAGAGGGGAGGAAAAGGTTGAGAGAAATAGATGGCAGTTTGGACTTTGGATTGGATTGGAATGGAACGGAAAAACGGCTTTAGTAGCTTTGGTAGTGAGAGGCTGAGGTGTCTTTTTGTTTGTGTTTCTCTGACCATCCTCTGTTTTGTGCAATTTTGGAGTTAATATTAACATAGGAAATGAAGGAAAATGTATAGAATACCATTAATTAGTTCTTAGTTTTTACATGTTTGTGGTGGTAAGATAACATATGCAAAAAATTAATAAGAAAATGAGTTTCATTTCCAATGACGAGATTTTATAAATTGGTCCTTATTAGCTTGTTATATACTTTACTATAACAATTCGTTAGCCTAACAATAAATTCTTAAAAATAGCCGCTTAACATCAAATAAATATATTTCAATTCATACATTTTACAAACATAAATAGCTAATAAAATTATTGCTATATTACATAGTGTGAATTATTTATAATAAATATTCTTAACAACATATTATGTATGTATAATTTATCATCATTATTTTCCATTATTACATAAAGTTCTTTGAAAATAAAAAAGGCAAATGGATTACAATCATGGAGAACTTTGCAATTTGGAAGTAAAAATGATTTTACTATTATTATTATTATTTATTGAAAAAATGGATGAGATTGATGATGAGGGGATGGGCATTTGTGATGGAACAAAGGGCATGGGGAAGCTTGGTGGTTATTCACTTAAAATTCTGGGGTTTTGGATATTTGTCATTCCATGTGGCATGAAGGGAATGGCTGATTGGGGATGAGGTGTTTGGGGTGTAGAGTGGTGGAGGAAATATGTAGCCTGTGCCGTACAATTCATATTTGGACTGTAACTGGATTTGGTGGCCACC